ACATTGGTGAATGCCACAAATTCTCCTAAATCACTCGTACGCACAACTTAAGAACAAATCTGTGCGTACGAACGGTTCTTGCATGAGGCCCATTGTGCTTATTTTAGGTTAATCTTTGATAATTGTAGCTTTTTTACTCCCTTTCAGCCAACTTTCTGCTCTTTTAGCTGTTCTAATTTAACTTTGTGTGCTTCTATCAACTTCTTTCTGATAATCTAAGATTTTCTGCTTCTTTCAGCTGCAGTTTAAATTACTTTGAGCTATTTTCAGCTGGTATTAGTATTTTTCAGCTAAATTCACCTTTTTGTGATATTTTGGATACTTTTTCAGCTGCTTTTTTATTAAATGTGCTCTTTCTCCATCTTTGTACTAGATTCAGTTTTTTCAGCAATTTGTAGCTACTCTGCTAAATTCAGGTTATTTGGATATCTTACAACAAATGGAAMATGTTCATAAATTATTTTTCTGCAAAAATCTTCAGCATTTACAGTCACTGGATTTATTTTTTCAGAAAATGCAAATTCTTTAGTGAATATTTGGAAAACAAAATGTACCTACTGAAGTGTTTGACACTCACATTTGACTGCAGAATGAAAATCAATATAAATGCAGTTTAAGTTTGAAGGAAGCAAACCCACCTCCAGTCTTAGCAATGATTTGCAGGTCTGCAGAAAGAGGTCCGTCTCCTACAGAGGTGAAGGCCAACACTTTAATGTAGTAGGTCTTATTTGGAATGAGTCCCTGGATGGTGGCAAAATTCGAGCCCTGAACCATCTGCTTCTCCCAGAGGTTGACATGCTGGGTGGGATCCATGGTGTAGTACACTCTGTAGCCCATGATCTGCCCGTTAGGCTCCTCTGGTTCATCCCACTGAATGACAGCTGTGGTGGCGCTCATCATGTGACCTCGGACCTGCCTCGGCGCCGTGCTGGGAGCCTGCTCTGCTGTTTTGGCCTCGATGCTCTCGCTGGGCGGCCCCCGGCCAATGTTGTTTACTGCCACTACCCGGAACTCGTAGTCAGAGTAAGGGCTGAGACCGCCCACGCTGTACCGAGTGGTGGCCACGCCATCGATCTCCTTGTACAAGTCCTCGGAGTACTTGGACTTGTGCTGGATGATGTAGTAGGACACTGGTTCAGGATTGCCCGAGTCCCAAGTCAAAGTAATGCTAGTGGCTGTACGCTCGGTCACTATGGGGATGCCAGGAGCCTTGGGTAGTGCTGAAATGACAAATATTACATACATCTAAGGTAAGTATGGTAAACATAAAGTTATCTGTCCTTTATCTTAGAAGAGAGCTTCAGCTCTGTGTAAAAGTTTGAAAACACTCCTCTTTTCTTTTATATATTGTTTTGCGGTCTTTTAAAGTGTTTTTTTTTTCAGTATTTCTTTCAGTTTTAGTGCCTTTTTTTCTCATTTTCCACCTAATCCTTGCTATGACTGTATATTGTGGCATTTGTAATGGGGCTCTTCTTAACTAAAACTGAAACAGGTTAGTGTTTCAGCTGCTCAGTTTTTGCAAGCTGAACTCACATGCAAATCCTTCTCCTTCCCTTTGAGGGTTATTAAAAAGCAGCCAAAGTCTAAAGAAAATATTTGGAAAAAGCTATAGAGAGCCTGAAGATCTGTTGATCAAAAACACTTTAAAAGATTCGGATCTGATGCCTCGGAAACAAAATAGAAAGAAATGAGGTATGACTAAAGACTTTTGCACAGCACCGTAGATGCATGTATTCGCCACCCTTAGCATTAACCAGGGCTTCTGCTGCTGTTGTTGTTGTTAATCTTAGATTCCTCTTTATCACTTTAATAATTAAAGAGGTAAATTTATTGCTTTAATTCCCCACATCGCAGCACACGGCAGGAGATATCAGGGCAATAGATTGTATTTATATGTCATCTGAAGTAGGCTACTGGGGGAGCTCCTGCCACACTGTTATATTGTGACTAATAYCAGTATGTTATGTCTGAGAAAAACAAAGCTGAGAGTGTGTGTTTGTGTGCACCAAAGTCGATCCCTTGCGTGCACGTAAACATAGCAGCACCAATCTGGGATATATCTCTGGTACACTGCAAAGTAGATATGATTACTCTCAGATAAGTACCGTTTCTACAGAAGACGTCGAACACCAGGGTAGTTTTGTACCTCAGTGCCCCCTCCTTCCTACATCCTGCAAACGGTGAGCTTGTGGCTTTGCAGTTCTCCGACTGAGAGATAAGCTCTTCACTACATCCTCAATCTGACATCAAATGAACTGATTCTRGTGCCGGGGTTTGTCTAAAGCTTTAAAGATTCTTTTATAAATGKTTTTTTGTAGTAGTGAGAATAAGTGTCTTTGAGGTGCTAGTGTATAGTTTTTTTTATTTTTTTTATTTTTTATAACAACCAAACTATTTGGGCCCCTCCTACATGCAGAATTTAAATATTTAAAGGGGGGTATAATTTATTTTCCAGGCACACAGTTCAATTCTATACCTCAGTCAAGTAACCATGTTACCATCACTTGTTATGAAAATGATGTATWTATCAAAAATAAATTTGACTTCACATCATAGCCTATCTAAACGTGCTGAAATTTCTCTCCATCAATTTAAGAACCTTCTGCCGTTTCTGACAATCCCACTTCAGCTCATCTTCACAACRGTGATTCATGCTGTTTACAACCTTTCGTAGGARCATTGTATTTTGTTGTAAAAAAGAAGCAACATTGTATGGGTTTTGGAAAATGGCAACTCAGCATAAAGTTGAAACTTACTCAAACGTCAGACCCAGAGAGTATGTTTTATGAAGAACCAGAACGAGTACAGAAGCTCCTACAAGATGTTTCAGCTTGGTAATATATCCCCCAGTCATCTTCTCATACATATACATCAATATTAAGCTACTTTTGTGAAGAAACTATAAATAAAGAAGATGAAGCCATGTTTTTTTTTGATAGTATTACAAGCTCAGCAGATGTGCAGTTCCACCAGGTCTTTGCTAATCGTTGCTGCAATTAAAGAAAAGTGCTGCACATGTTGAAGTCCACATCTGACTTGGAAAACTCTAAACRTGCAGTCATTAATTATAATTAAAACCAGAACATTAATAAGTACCTTTGACTGTTATCTGGGCTACAGCCTCGATCACGCCAAGGGTTGACATGGCCACACATGTGTAATTGGCTGACTGCCGGACATCTGTCAGCTCCAAGACGTTTCGTCCGATGGGCATGTCGTCCTCCGGAGTCAGGTCCTCAGCACCCAGCATCCATTTGACATAAGGCATGGGAGAGCCTACTGCCACACATGTAATATTTACACTGCCTCCTGGCATTATCTCATTGTCTGTAGGTGGAATGGAGAATCGTGGTGGAACCCGACGCACTGAAAATTAATTGACAAAATACAGAGTGAAATACAAGCAAGGAACAGAACYTAACAGGGGAAATCAGTCTGAGTTCTGCAAAACTGTTAAAAAGAARAAAAAAAAACATGTACGTATATGCCCAGACACAAATGAGAACAATGACTGTAGCATAACGAGATTGTTTCCTTTATAGAAAAAAAAAAACATTTAAAGCACATTCCATCCAAGACAAAGATATGGTGATGAATGAGTTAACAACATGAGCACCATGCACAGAATATGACATCAGATAGATGTATTGAACTGCACAAAGTGCTGGAGAGTCAAAAGCACTTCACAGTTGTATGCAGAGAAACAACTTTCAGGCTGCACACCTCCAGCTGATATGAACTGATGTGCCACATCTCACAGACAGATAAAACACTTGAGTTGAACACATAACAAAGAGGGATTGCGTTTTTCTGTGCTTTTTTTTTCAGGCTCAATCCAAATAGAAACCAGGGCTGTCAAATGTGATGCATTTATACTTTGGAAAAGATTACCAATGATTGCAGTCACAAGTGGAAAATAATCGTCAAATGTTCTCTCGATGCAAAGCAAACCTACTGTAAAATGTACAAAATATGAYAAAATAAAAACCTTGGTTTTTGCTAAACTACTTTTAGGAATTATTTCAGGACTAGACATGAGATCCTTTTGGGTAAAAAAAAAACACACTTTTAGTCCTGTTTTCCCAACAGATTMAACTCTTTCATGACATTCCTTTTTTTGTATCCGTGCTTTATAATCTAAGTAAATAAAGTGGTATATTTTAATTTGTTTACTTTATTCCTATGAAGCCATGGAAATTTGGCCCATTTTCACTATCAAAAGCACCTGTTTAGCACCACATTACTCCAAGTGTGGTCGGACACACCGGATCAGTAAAGCCAAGCTTAATAGTTCTGAAAGACATGTTTTAAAAGTCACATTTGAAATAMTTCGTGACTTTCTTCAGACAGATATTAATAACTTTGCAGCCTTTATTAGCATGCATTTTAAACCTAAACAATGCTTCTAAAACCACTGTTAAGGAATGCATATCATCTGACAGCTCCAGTGGAAACATTTTTTTAATAAATATTTATTTGTCAATAGGAAATGCAAACTAAAGCTTAAATAAAATCAAACTTCGCAGTTCTTTTAAATGTACATTATCGACGCAAGCATGAGTTCAGGGTATTTTGTCAGCGGATAAGAGTCAATCATGCATAAAAGAATAATATGTGACTTTGAGAGAAAACTGTGAAAGAGGGGGTGGGGTCAGATGAAAAAAAAACAGGAAGAAGCTAACACTAGCTGTCTCAGGCTAACATAAGCAAATGCTAACTGTATAAGACTAACAAAAGCATATTGGAATTTCAAGCTTGCAAGCTAGTCTTTGAAGCAAAATTTAAATATAAAAAAACAAAGATAAATGTTTTATTGTTTGTGTTTTGTAGGGTTTGTCAAAAAATGACTGGCTACAAAGACAGTAACAACCCATTGTTATACAACATGGTTTCTAATGTAGTCAGTGTTACTGCTGGGTTAAAGCACTAAATCTAGAAATATTGGACAAACAAAAAATAAACTACCTATCACCAATTATTTCACCCTCCTTTAAAACCTTTTATAGTCTGTAATTTGAAAGTGTTTTTCAAGTGGCGGTGCTGACTTCTCCTCTAACAAAAGCATGTGCTTCCTCCTGCTAACTCACAAARCTCATTCTGTTGAGCAGGCTGCTGCTCTCAAGAGAGGAAATCTAAGGGAACTGCTTGCATTATTAAATACACCGTTTCTCTCACTCAATATTTAATTAATATCCAATTGGATCACGCTCCCCACAGACATAATATTATCCTGCTCATTTAAATATCATTACGTTTGTCAAGACTTGCAGATAAGACTCTAAATGCATCATTCTTTCATGACTTCGAGTAGTAGCATCCTCATCAAAGGAAATACGTAATCTCTGCGGGCGAGGTTGCTTTTGCAGCTTGACTCCTGGCTTTAGTGCCAATTACAACAAAGGAAAGATCTTTGCGAAACACAATTTTAAAATGAGATGAAACAAGCACCACAAGGATAATGTTACAGTAGTGATGCCTAAATATTTGAATGCAATGAATCCAAAAATGCTGTTTCTGTTTTCTTTTTAGTCTTCTTTCCCTGCTTGCATAATTTCCTGCAATGGGGGGAAAAACAAGCAGGAACACTGACAGGGTAAAGGGTTGAAAAAAATGCATGGCTTGGTCAAACAATAACAGTGGGACCATGCAAATAGAACGTCAGGCAGATGCAAATAACACCCCCACCACCCAACCTTGAAGATGCAAACATGCACCATCTGTAGGTCAAACAGTCAAGCATTCAGATAAAGATCAGGGCCTGCCTAAATAAACAGACTCAATGTGCAACAATGGAGAACATGATATGAATAAAAGCAAAGCAATAATTTAAAATAACAGATTTGTTTCAATGTTTCGGTGACTTCAAGGTGTAATTTTTATTGACTTATAAACAGTTGAGCCTAACATTATATACAATACATACATTTTAAAATTTGTGTTGTGTGATCAAAAAGGAAAACACACCAACCTTCTCGTAGCTCTGAAGGATGTAGGGATTGTTGCACAACAAAATCAAATAAGGAGAGGAGAAAAACAAGGGAAACACAGAGAGTAAAAAGGCCGTTTTTTAGGTGTTTGAATGCTACGCAAACAATCTAAAGAACCTTTAGATCCTGAGGTGCAGGGTGCCCCCTGCTCCCTATTATAAAGCATCTTGTCAAACTATCCTGTAATAACTTTTAGCCAAATTATGTCCAAGCCTTGAGGTCAGCTTATGATAATCTGTGTGCTTTTTGATGGCTATGTTTCAAATTCTGTGTTAGGAACTGGTTGGTAAAGGGATTCAAAATTTCAATGAAAAGTTGTATAAAATACAGTATCATTAAAAGAAAGAAACAGAAAGTGCAGTTACACCAAAGCAAAAGATAATTTAACTTGGGGAAAAAATCTACTGTAAAATTGCACTATTATATAAAGTTTATCATTGCAACCAAAGGCTGTTGTCAGTTTGTTTTTACAGGCAAATTTAAGTGAAGTCCAAAATTTTATAATATAATCAAATAATTGCGTTGCACTTCAATTTGTTTTAACAATACCATTATCAGTAACAAAGGCAATGAGATTAAAGTTGTCGTAATGTATATCCAAGGGGAGAAAAAGGAGTAAGATTGGGGTCTGATGGAGGAGGGCTGTCCACCATTTACCACCTCCAGCAGTCAGGTTTTAAAAGCAATTAGTAGATAAACACAGCAAGCAGTCTCGTCACTGGTGTTAGACTCGGGATAATTAACGGAAAAGACCAGAAACACATCACAGAGCAGATACTGTTGGTTCAAACCAGTGCAGGTAAGTCAAGTGCGAGGGGCAGAAGAAGAACCCTTAATAAATCATACTTACAATGGTCTCTCAGGACACGGCCCCTGTAGAAACTATTTATTGATCTAACAATCCTCAAATTTTAAAGAGCATTTTATAGCAGTGTTTGACTGAAGCACACTGGTGATGTTGATACAAGCACTTCCTACCTCTGACATATAGATTTGCTGGGGCAGAATAGCGGGTTCCATCGCTGTTGGTCGCCACACATTCATACTTCCCCTGATCAGACTCTTCACTTTGCTCAATTTGGAGGGCTCCTAGTTGGGAATAACAAATGGGAGTAACAGAAGGTGTGTGGTTAAAGTAATACCATTAGCATCAAGATCTCAAGTAAAAATAAAAGCACAACAAGCTGATTCAACCTGACCGAAACCAATATTAGCCTTCATTTATTTTTATTTTTGCATTGTCCTTTTACTGTCCTTTTTCATTGATATTTAATTATAGAAACACTACAGTTTAGACAATTTAGACACAGCTTGATTAAATGCTTAAGCTGCTTAGGTTAAGATACAATAGATTGTACGTTCCTTTTTCAGATTAAAAAAGCTGAAACTGATAATTATGCAAGATATTTTAATACATAGCTAAATTACAAAGGAATGAAAAAGGAAAACAGTAAAACAAATCCAAATTAAATACTGAACAGCAAATTCACCATATTGATAACCTCTTTTGAGGAAAAAAAATACAACCAGAAAGACACTCATCCTATCGCCAATGATAACAAAATGTCATAGTTTTACTTTGAAAAGGGACAAGCCCATCAATATACAACATATCACTAGACTGGTCAATATGGGGATGAGTGATACTGCTTTAGGGAAACATGGATCAAACAAAAGAGGTTTACAGTATAAAAAAGCAGTGTAACAAGGGAGGACAATTAAAAAATAATTTAGGTATGACTTTAGCATATTCAATCACAGATCAGTTGTAATATTCAGCCTACATGATAATTTTGAACTTCACTGCAGTGAAGTGGTTTAAAAAAATGCAGCGTATACAAAAAAAAAAAAAAGAAAAATGCTGCTTAGATATCTAGAAAAAACGGAATTGAAATATCACGTAAGGCAAAATCAACATTTAACCCTCTGACAAAAGTTTTGACATGCAAATCTTGGCAAGAAATGTATGTCGACACAACTTACAACCTTCTGACAACCCTTAGCTGAAAAATAAAATGCAATTGTATTAGAAGACAAAATTCAAAATATGGCCTGAGCCAACAAGAAAGTAACCAACCACTGCTTTAGCTTGTGAAAGCTACAAAAGACACCCATAAAAATCCACCAATGGGATCAGCAGTGTGGTGTCACATGACCCAGAGAAAAAAATGCATCAACAATTCTCCAGCTCCATGTCACATGGCAAAAATGAGCCAATCAGGTCCTCGCCAGACTCTACTGTTTGCCTTCCCAAACCCTGAAGAAAAAAATAAAAAATGTCAAAAAGTAAAATAGTTCCCAAACCCAAGAAAAGTAAGAAAAATAGGTGAAAGAGGTACAAAAAGCACCGTAAGAAACTTTATCAAAAAAGTGGTTGTTTGGGCTTTTTTGTAGAGGTACAGGAGAGGAAAGCAAATAGAAGAAATGGGAAAAAAAAGTAGTTTGCAAAGATAGAAAGAACTCTTTATGAGAAAAAAGCAGAAGAGAGACAATGTCRTCTTCAGCATGTCTGCGTGATTCCACAGCATCGGCGCATATTTTTAGTGCTGAACAAGAACAGCTAAGGGGGGAAAAATGCTTGGTTGTTTTAGTTGGACAAGAAGAGGGACACATGGTTCGCTATGGCCAAAAAGAAAACAAAAATGAACGTTAAAGTATCGTCTAAAAAAAGAATTGTCATTGTATATGCTTATTTGAGGCCAAGGCAAGCATATCACAACTGAGCTAAATGGGCTCTCAAAACAAGAATACAAAGGAGTAAATAAGGCATAGACGACATGATGAAATACAATATTAGTCAACAAAACAAGACAAATAAGAAGGATGGTCCATACGAACGTAATGGGATTTGGTCTTTGTAAACGGGACAAAAATGGAGGTGATTCTGGTGAACAAATGGATTGACAGCAAGAATGAACTTGTATTATTTTCATTCTGTGAACGTCAGTTCAGCACTCTTACCTCTTATTGGTGTACCACCTGGGTGGATAATATGAATGCAAATAAGATTAGAAAGAAGAAGCATTAGTACGAGTAGGTAGAGGCTGGGGGCTTTGGAAGAAGAATCAAATTAGATTTAACAGGGTATGTAAATAAAGATACTACAGGAAAGAGAGAAGAGAAATAGAGAACTTTCTTCTGGCAAATAAAGACAGGATTCATCATAGAAAAAACTTCATAGGTCAGAGAGAAGAACTTGTACATTGATGTACCACAGGGTGAGGGGAGGTGCCGTTTTTGGATGTGGCAATGGCTTCTGAAGACCATCTACTGAAGGAAAAGACTTTCAGGACTTTTTAATTTGAGAGCAGAGCTGAACACCTCCCTAAAGCTTGAACTTTTCATACCTAAGGTGCTGGTGTTATAGAATTAAGTGAGTGAGGAACAAACATGTGAGGACAGATTATTACTCAGGTCAGTGTACAAAATAATAGTTGGCTGAAGCTTTAATGTTAAAATCGTGATAATCTAGCTGGCAGTGTTAAGACACTTGAACACTGTGGGGGTGAGGGGAACAGTGTGTGTTTTTCTAACCCTGAAACTAAGCTATCTGTTAGTAAAATGCATGCCATGCATTTTAATAGTTGTTGGAACATGGAAATTAGTGGGGGTGATGTGTGCTTCAGAGCTAAGCACTTACCAAAGGATTCTGTAGATTTAAAAATATAGAGAGAAGAAAGACAGCATAAGAATTTGATTATATTCTTTAGGTGAGTTTAGTTAACAAAGGTTTCGTTAATGCTTTAGCAACTGTACGTGAATCAAAGTCGCACGTTAGAAAATTAAGGTTAATTTGAAACAATTTTACTGAAAACAAGTCAGCAAGGAAGTGAGGGTAAACATGATGACTCAACAAAGAACAGCTGTGAAATCTGTGAAGACAGGTGGTCAAAAAGACAAGACTTCAACTTTAAAAGGATGCTGCAAGTCTTTTGAAGTTGGGCTTTCTGGAAAGTGTTTGAACAATTAATTTTAGTAGTTAGCTCTTTAAATAGCCTCATTTTGGGAAAAAAGAAAAATCACATTTTGACCAGATTTCCAAGCTAATAGCTAGTCAAAGTGGGGCCAAGACCAAAGTGCATTGCTGCCTTCTTACAACTTCAGTCTCAAAAGTTTTATAGTAGCTCATGCATACACCTTTGTTGGTATTTTTGCTTTAACGCTTATTTGTTAAACAAGCAAATCAAAGACTGACAGTTGGGAGATTTATTTGAACATTCATAATAACTTCTTATGGTTTGGACAGTCCTGAAGTTTGGATCTCTGTCTGAGTAGCAACAACACTCAGATTTCTAAATATAAGTATCAAACTGTGCCCAAAGCGAGCAGAGGTGGGCAACTAAATTATGTACGGTCTAGAATACAGTTTCATAAGCTGCATATGTAAATAAGCTCTGATTTTCAAAAAATAGTCTGTGTAAAACACAGCCGCTTGATCACAAACACTCAGATTTCAACAGATAATTTGCCAATTTTCCTGTAATTTTCTAGAAATTTAGTTACCACCTAGTCACAGCCCAGTGAGAAACTTGCTTTTGTTATCTCCAAGGCTGTAATCAACCACAGTTAACACAACTTTGCACATAATTTGTCTTCACAAACAGACATGTTTGATAACATTAGACAGTCAGACTGCAAACAAGGTGCATTTGGAACACGATGGCCTTCACCAACCATAACACTAATGATCATATCAGTTTCATTACTGAGTTTTGGCCCTTCATAAAYTTTAACGCCACCATCAGCTTAACATTACATGGTTATATTGGTAGAAACATTTTATATAAATAAGCAATGCAAAATTGTTGCAAACTAAAAGGTCTATAAAATAGTGCTCACATGAAACACTATGGATTGGGATTAAATTTGTTTTTAGACAGAAGCAATCCACTTTGGTGTTTGCGCCATTCATACTAGCCATTAGCTCATCAGTCTAATAAATTATACACAATTTCTTCAATCCGAGGTCATTAAATGAGTGAACATTGGTAATATATTGATTGTTCATAACCTTTTCAGAAAACCCTTCTCAAAAAGACCCTAATTATTAATTAAAACATCTGCATTGCCATTTTGATTTAACTGGCAAAAAATGCTGCTAGCAATGATAGCATTTTTAGAAAATATATATTTAAACGCTAACATAATGAAATAAAGTAAATATTTTGGGTGCAGCGGAACTTAATAGGGTGTGTGACACTGACAGGAAAATAAAAACAAAGCTGTTATCTAAAAAAAATATTAAAGAGGGGCTGTAAATTTAAAAAAGAAGCAATAAGGGAAGCTTTACTGTGGCTATTAAAGGGACATATTTAAATTATTTTTCTTTAACCTAAAATAAATTCCTGAACAAAGGAATTTTCTATTTAAGGACTGTTTAAAAACGGGAAAAATGTTCTTTTTTCCATTTTAAATAATATGGATTTTCAATGAAACCAAAATGTTGAATATTAATACATAAAAAAGACAAATGGAGAAAATGGTTCTAAAAACATACTGCACCAATGCAGTAGGAAGTAAACCAAAAAAAAAAAAACAGCAAAATAATTAATTATAAGAAGTCATAGCAGTGAGCAATGAGGGCAGAAGTTAGGGCAGAAGCCAGCAAAAACAGGAGGGAAACAATTCCAATAGCCCATGACAACACTGGAAGACAAAGGGAGACACAGACAGACAGCTGGGGCGTACAGAGAGTAGAGGACAGGAAACAGTAGAAACAATGCCATTACCTATAAAATTAAAAGCCAAAAAAAGTTAAATCATGGCAGGAAGAAGAGGGTGAAAGAAAAGAATGTGGGAAGCAGATCAAGTTGAAGAAAACAAGAAAGAAGACTCCCTGCTTAGTAACTGAGTTTTCAGCAGCGGAAAAACCTACCTGATCTGAGCTGTTTAATGCGTCCGTTGTTGTTGGTGGTGTTGACGGGGAGGAAGTCTTTGAACCAGGCAATGTCTGGGTCAGGGTTGCCGCTGGCGGCGCAGAGCATGGTGGAGGTGCGTGTTCGCTCCACCACTTTCAACTGTGGGCCCATGTCTATAGTGGGGAAACCAGGGGGCAGCTGGTCCTCTGCAAACAGGTCAGAGACACGGTGGCAGATGTCAGAGTGTGAATGTTTGTGGTTCTAATTAAATCTTGTGCTGTTCAATGGAACAATCAGCCAAACAAGAGACTCTGGAGCAACAGAAACAATTATCTACAAATGATTTTAGGTAAAAGCAGGCAAATGAAAATTACCAACCTTATTTTAATGTATTGTGTGATTAATTGATTTATCACTTATCACAACAGGCCTACAATAGATGATCTTCATATCTTTAGCTGCATGTTTGCCCTCAGTATGCTGTTATTGAGGAAATAAGAATGCAGACTATGATTAAAGAAGGCTACATCTTCCARCTATCCAGAAGGTTATGAAGGAGAGCAAAAACCAGTAACCATGACTTTCACAACAAAAAGGAGAGTAATGCTTTTGTGGCTRCATTGTGACAGCTGAGCAGACTTGTAAATTCCCACGTTTGTGGGTTGGTGCACCAACGACTTTTGAAACTTTAATGTGAGACACTCAGGTCAATAACATGTTTTCTGAGCGCAGCACCTATTCAGCAGAAATTAGCATATYCACCTAGGCGTCGTGTTACGTTTGGAAGCTTGAGCCAATAAATAAAAACCTGAYGACTGCATTAAAATCGGACCTAGGAAATAATGCTGATTGGACTGGGTTTTCTCAAGAGACAAATGATACCTGAAGGTTCCTCTTTTTAAATTATCTCAAGTGTAAAYGGGCCTCAAGTAACAAACAGTTATAAGTGATTTGCAAAGAGAATAAAAAAAGTGTTTAAATGTATTTTACAGAATGTCAAAATCTTTCACTAGTGATGGAAAGAAAGCAGTGAGGCTCCACATCCATTCAGAAGAGGKAGAGTTTTGATGTTCTTTGATGATGGCAGGTGGTGCGGCTGTGTTGTCTAAGCTGTCTTGTTTCCACCTGCGTCTCTGATTTTCCTACTGAACAAGGGKGGGGATGGCGGGGGTGGATGTGTCTATGTCTCGCTGCCATTTAAGATGTGAAAGGAGATAACTCCTGGTGCCACTTTGCTCCAAACATGTTCTTTTTAGCAAAACCAAGAGAAAACCAAAGCCTTGAGCAGCTTTTTCTCATGAGAACGGTTTTTCAACTTGCAGCTGGAGAGGATCTCTGAAATGCTGCAGATTTAAATATTCTAAACACCATAAGAATCCCTGTTTGTGAAACGCCCGTCTCCTCTGCTGTTAGCCAAGTGTTAAMCTCCAAAACAAGCCCTACTTATTCTGACTGCCAACAAGGTTTTGCACACCTTTAAGTCTTCCTTTCCCCCTGCTGTGATATAACTAATTAATACCTTYGCTTGCTTTCGTCAACACCATTTTTTGGAAGGTATTTCTTCATTAAATTTTCATGAGTTGCCATCAGTTTGGAAACAGCTTTCAGATGCCATATATACTGCACACAGCAAAACGACAAACRTGGCCAAATTCCAACATTGCCATCGGGTATCTGGCAGAAGAAACCACCTTCAYGGATAAATCTTCCCTGAAATAAGACAGTATTACAAATAAGCGACTTTAGACTCAACAGCAAAAGTTTCCCGTTGCAACTCTGTGTCCCTGGTTGAACTGGGAGGGGAGATGGGAAGGTTTTGTTTGCYGAACATTTAAAGATGGCTTCTCTTTCAGCTTTTTAATTTGGCTCAATGAGTTTAAATAAAATAAACGGCATGAGCAACCTTTAAAGATGGTCATTTTCTTGGCAGTTATGCACATTTTAGAAATATAGGCTGTCTTGGCYTGTGCATTAGTATGTTACGTCATTGCCATTTGTTCAAAATGTACACTGTATACATCTTTATGCCTTTCAGTGTCCATTTAGTTGATGAGAAACGTTCTGGCTTTACTCTAGTTACACATTTGTATTTTCTGGCACTACATTTTGCTTGTTGGCGCCAAGTTGCAATTTATATACAAATGTACACACACACACACACACACACACACATATATATATATGTGTGTGTGTGTGTGTGTGTGTGTATGTATATATATATATACACCGTAGATTACTGAGCTAAATATTTTGACTAGACAAAAAACCATTTGAAACATGACATGTTTTGATTAGCCAATAGCGTGGATTCCCTGAAATAAAATCTGAATGTTTGTCTAAACTGTTACAGAGAGATTTTTAATGAAGAGGAGATTTTGATAATTAATAACTGCTTCACAGAACACCACAACAAAAAAATCCCCACTGTCTTATAAGTGTATTATAAAAGGCAACATGTTACCAACTATAAGCTTAATGTTTAAAACTGTACTGCTTGTTCAGACAGATAGAAAGGTGTGTGTTTCTGTACTGTTGGGGCATGTATGTTTGTGAATTAACTAGTTGCTCCTGCCCAACTCCCTTCAGCCTGTTCAAGGTCGAACAGACAATTAGTTCATTCCACAGTGAGTCCAAAGTACACCTGATCAAATGCAATAGCCAGAAGCAAGCCTATGAGTAGAAACGCATGGTGAGTATAATAACTGTGTGACAATCCATAAAAAGAAAACGAAAAAAAAAATAAAGGTCTGACATTTCTTGAAGGAATGCATCTCACTCACTGCCTTTCCTGACAGTTTTAAACTAAGATCTTACCATTTATTTTAACCAATTTTACCATCATTGTATTTTGAAAAATAACGGAGTTGAATCTGGTTTAAAAAAAAAACTTAAAAGTAATGTTATTGTGAATAACTCTCAGTATTGTCACATTAAGTTTCAGCTCAGTATGGGTAGAACTGACTGTGAAGTCCATTTTGCTGCTGCTCTATAAGCTCACTGAGAATCGCCACAAAGTCTCCACATCAGCAGTGTGCTAATCTGAAAATAATAATAATAATAAACTTTCTCACACACAGATCTTGTGTTTAACCCAAATCAGCAAGGACTTTGAAATTCTCACGCTGCCTTGCAGTTCTCAGCTGTAGCGTCATTTATTTCACTGTGAAATGAATTCAGACTGTGACAATAAATAAAAGGAGGGGAAATTGAACACATCTGGTGGCAGTGATTAAGAACTCCCATCAACAGAGCTGCTGCAGCTTTGTTCTTACAAGGCCTGAGTCTTAAATAAAATCAACCTAATTGCTGTTTAATCATGCATGTTGTATGTGGTGTTTTTTTGTTGTTTTGTTGAAACTTTGGTTACTGACAAAGCATTAAAAGCAACCAGTGAAATAAATAATCAAGTCAAGCGATTTAAATGTTTCCCCCATTGGCTAGGTTTTCATTTTGATTATTGAAACTAGTATTTCTTGAAAGAAAGGATATTGCCCACTGCATATCACATCAAAGTTTTGAACAAAGATTTTACATAATCTATTAGTTATTTTAAAACTGAGCTAATGGACTATTTAACCAAAAGACTGTTGGTACATTCTCATCATCATTTGGGTAAAACTAACMTGTCTCATGACAATCTAAGAAATAAAAACAACTTTCTCTCTGCACCTTAAAAATGGTACCACTCCTAATACCACCAAACCCACTCTCACTTACCTCTTCTGTTGTGGCCATATTGAAAATAAACATGTTTGTAGTGAATGCTAATCAAGAAAACGTTAAAATTGATGGGGGATAMTGGAAGTACAATAAGTCATGTATGATTCTGCTCATGTTTGATAAACTAATACAAAATAAAATCTTCAGAGGAAATTAATGACCATTTTTTGTTCTTTTTGGCATTGGGTTTGATGCTTTAGGGGTGACTACAACCTATAAAAATCCTCTATCCCTGTTAATACACTATTCRCTGCATATCTTCAACATACAGCCCAAAGATACTTTATACAATATTTGAATGACTTATTTGAAAAAGGGATTAATGAAAAAAATAAAAAAGTGTTTCAGGTACTTTTCCCATTTCCTCATTCTACCTCGCTGATGACTGCAATCTCAAGGACAGACTAAGACAAGGGCAGTTTCTGCTTTACAGACCTATACTGTCAATTCAACAATGGATCTACACACTAAATGAGATGGAAGGGAAAGAAATGCTGAAGTCACCTTCTAAAGAAGTGCTGAGCACTGGTGCTTGATATAAAAAGACTCCCAATGACAATTTGCACACATTAGCCACTGCCAGCCTATCAGGCCATATGAGCGTGCAGTGCCAAGCTCCGTGGACAGGTATAAAAAGGACATTGGCCTAAAAAGTACTTCAGTGAGCAGATTTTTCTAGAATACATAAGGCCGCTGGACAGAAACTCAGCCCATTAGCAGATTATATCTATTGATCACTCCCAGAAAATACGGGCATGAGTGAAATCACATTTTCTTTGTGTGACAACAGTGGCCATTGCAGTTACTGAAACGTTGTTTGAGTGCAGCAATAAATTCTGCACAATTTGTTGTCATAATGCAGCTGTCACCAACATCGGCAATCTGACTTTGCTCAAAGTAGAATTTGATTCTTGCTAGTTTTTAGGTGGATGTTTTGCAAGTTTCTCTCTGCAACCATTAAATAGGTAAAATCAAATGCATATTAAACAAAAAAATCATGCATATGGTTCAAACCAATATATTGGGATATTTGTTTGATTGCTGTAATAGTTTGTGCTTTAACAAAACAGAAWAATTCTTGTGATAATTTGAGACTTATTTTATTATCTAGGTTTCACCTATCTGCTTCACCATGTGCCTCCCTCAAGCTTCCAGACTGATTCACTGTAGTTTGATAGGTGTTTGACTAAATAGTGGCACAGAAACATTAGTTTACAAATGGATTAAAAGATAAC